TAGTGTTAGTACACTTTATGCCAAAGAACAGAACAGAATGAGCTAAACTAAAACTCTCAGTTCACAGGTGACAGAATAAACTGGAAGTGCTGATTGTCTTCATCAAGGACTCCAGGAAGCTTACAGTAAATCCAAACCTTCCGGTTTCCAAGTTATGCTCCCATAACCTGTAAGATTAAAGTAACCAACTACAAAGCTCCTGAGAATAAGCATTGAAGAGAGGACTCACTCACATGGCTGAGGTGTGTGGCTGCGGTGGCTGCTTCCTGGGAGACTCACTAACCTGTCTGAGTCCAAGCCACTTAACACCTCAACATGAGATTCTCGGAATACAAGCCCAGAACATTCATAAGCATCTCTGAATACAAACTACCTTGAAACTTCCTTTCCAACAAGATAGCACAGATGCTTTGTCCTATTCTCAGCATGTAACAGATGTTGTCACTCGTTCCATTAACTCCTATCTATGAAGCATGTGGTTTATGTCAGACCCTGTCAATGAGGCTTGAACAGAGCACAGTTCTTATCCTTAAAGAATCCTTAGATAACTCTGAATAAGGACAAGAAAATGACTATAATGCAGTATTCTAAGTACTATATAATATGTACTTGTGCAAGTTGGGACAGAAAAACAGAAGGAAACTAGAAAGAAAAGAAAGAAAGAGAGGGGGGAAAGAAAAAAAGAGGAGGACAACCAAGAAAAAAAAAAGGTTTCCAGAAAGTAATGATTTTTTAAGTTGTGAGTCAGTCAGGTCATGTTATCTAAATTTAATCCCAGCACTCAAGAGGAAGAAGCAGACAAATCTCTATGAGTTCAAGGCCAGCTTGTTAGCCTAGATAGCAAATTCCAAGGTAGCTATGGTTACAGAGTAAGATCTTATCTAAAGACACAGAGAGAGAGACAGAGAGACAGAGACATGGACAGAGACAAAGAGTGGAGAGAGAGACAGAGACACAGAGAGGCAGAAAAGTGAATTATAAAGGAAAAAAAAGATTGCAATTCAAGGAAGTAAATCCTGGGCATGGCTATAGACTAAGTTAAGGCTGGACATGGTGAAACATGGGTAGGGAGAAGTAAGCCAAGCCTTGACCAGGAAAGTAACTGCTAGACAGAAAGGAATGTTAAGTCCTAATGAGATCATCATTGCAGAAAAACCTAGTTTTCTTTTTAACATAAAGAAGAGTGGCTAGGAGGATGGGAACAGGCTGTTTTAGTTTAGTTTCTGTATTGTGATAGAATACCCTGACAAAAGTAACCTTAAAGAAGAAATACTCCTAGCTCTTGGGAAGGAGGGGGACAGAAGCAGGCAGATCCCAGTGAATTCAAGGCCAGCCTGGTCTACAAATCAAGTTCCAGTTCTGGCTGTCACACAGAAAAACCCTGTCTCAAAAAGGAGGAGGAGGATGAAGAAGAAGAGGAGGAGGAGAAAGAGGGAGAAGAAGAAGGAGGAGGAGGAGGAAGAAGAGAAGAAATGCTTGTTCAGCTTACAGTTCATCATCATCGTGAGGAATTCAAGGCAGGAACATGAAGGAACTGGTCACATCCACAGTTAAGAGCAAAGAGAATCAATTCATGCAAGCTTGCTGCTCAGCTTACCTTCTTTTATACATCCCAGGACCCAAACTTAGGGAATGGTGCCACACACTTTCAGGCTGGGTCTCCCCAGACCATTTAACCCAATAAGACAATCTCTTACTTGGAACTAGAGAGATGGGTTTGTGGCTGCATTCCCACTGAGCTACACCTGGCCTGGGCTCCAGAGAGCAGCACCTAGCCCTAGTCCATCTTTTGTTTAGCAGACACCTTTTGTTTCTCTTGTTGCCCTATGTGAATCTTGTCTCAGAGTCTCCTAAGGATACAAAGGCCTGTGCAAAATTTGGTTCAGGAAACCTGGAAAATGGTGGTACCTAATGAATCCAGGAATTTGCACTTGGCATTGTATTTTTGGGAGCTTCTTTCAGGTTGTTTTGAACATATGGAAATCAAGTGGCTAAAATGTAAATATTGAGAAAAATAAAATTGCCCTGGGCAAAAGGAAAGTGCATCGGTTTTTAGAGACTGGATCCCCCTGCAACTGCAAAAGGCTAAATTCATTCTTAAGGTTCCTCTGTGTTTTCTTTCTATGGATCCGCATGAACCCACACACATGCCGCCACATTTCAAGACATGGGTCAGTGGTTAAGAGCACTTGCTGCTCTTCCAGTGAAACAGAGTTAGATTCCCAATACTCACTTGGCAGCTTACAACCTTCTGTAACTCCAGCTCCCAAGGATCCAACACCCTCTTCTAGCCTCCATGGGCACCAGGCATGCACAAGGTACATAAACATATACACAGGCAAAATACCCATAAACATAAAGTAATAAAATATTTTTAAAAGAAAATCTCTTGTAGACATGCCCACAGACCAACCTAATCCAGTCTCTCACGGAGACTGTCTTCCCTGGTGGTTCCAGACTAGGTCAAGTTGACAGTTAAAACTAACCATCATATAGGCTGATTGGACATATTTAAAAAGCCAAAAGAAGAGACCTAGTGATGGATAATGAATTCCTGAAACAGGACAGCAGCAATTGTAGACTACGGGAATGGATAATGAAGACATGTAGTGGGCTGGATAGATTTTTAAAATGGATGACATAGGAAGTGAGGGAGATGTATAATACCATCCTGTTTTCTGGTCTGAGCTGGTCAGGTGAATGGTGCCATTCATTGACATGTCAATAAAATATTTAAAGGTAGATTGACTAGGAAGGGATGTTCGGGTTTAAAGTTTTTAAGTTTGACAGACTACTTACTGATTTAAGAGTGTGGATGCTTGCTAGACTGTTTAAAACATGCTTTTAAAAAAAATGAGATCAGGTTAAAAATTTGAGCCTTATTGGTGCTTAAAATCATGAACCACTGCATAAGAGAATTTGAAAAGAGTCATTAGTTTGGAACAAGGGTTAGATAAAAGCTTTATTCAATATAAATATTTTAGGAGTAGGAATAGAAAAAGGAATCCATCAATGAAAGTGAAACAGATTCCCGTGGCAGACAGACAAAGAATTCAGTGCTAGACAAGCACTTGAGTGTGCTATGAAGGGCTCTTAGGAGTGGCTAATCCACCTTTCCCACTGAATCAACTACTTAAAAGATTCAGAAAGGAGGCTAATATGATGATCCCCTTGTTTAAAAAAAAAAAGCCCAGTGGTTAATAGTACTTCCCCAGATGCCAGAAAAAGTGTCAGCTAGCCAATACTTGGGGTACCTGCTGTATGATTTCTAGGTTTCTACTTTGACTAGGTTATAGTGTCACAGCATCCTAACAGCAGGGGCAGAGCCAGCTGTGTCCCTCCCCAGCTGCTTCCTACCAGCCCCAAAGAGTTTCCTCCCTGGCCATCTTTGCTCTAGTCTCCTGTCAAAACTGGTTTTGGAAAGTAGCATAAACTTCCCCCTGATGCCTGTTCTTCACTGGGATTAAATGGCTCGGGCCTGAAAGCAGGGAGAGTGGGCCCCCGAGTCCTGACAATGTAGACAGAGATAACACAAAAACTGCAGGGAAGCATATTCTGGGGACTCTGGGGTTTCAGGCACCGCAGCCGAGAGTGGAGATCGAGAAGCCACTCAGCAGCTGGCATAATCCCAGCATAGACCATATGGCTGGAAACAGCAAGACCGCTGACCCGAATTCCAGAAGAGCATCTGAGATGGGTCCTATGGTTGTAGGAGCAACTGGTGAAACAGAAGGAGCCACTCTGCAGAGGCCACACGGACCCAGTTCCTTAGCTGACAAATCCTCCAGTTGCAGACTTTCTAGGTAGAGGTACAACCCAAAGGAGTGGCTTGAAACTAAGTGGAGAGAAAAATGCAACCAGGCTCTGTAAAGGTTCTGTGACATTTTACAAAGTAAATAAACACTGAATTTAGGTCATAGAGAATGAAGAAAAGTCTGTGCTAATGGAGACAGCTGCTTTTGCTCTCAAGGAAATTGTATAGGAAGCAATAAAGCAAGAGACGAAATAATGAGGCAGGGAAACAGGAAGGGGCAGGATGCAGCTAGAGACAAAAAAGGAAGCAACCTGAGGTAACTGGCAACTGGAGACCAAAAGTGCAGGAGAAAATGCACATCTATATTAAAAACGAAAATAAATTCAGATACAGGATTCTGAGAGGATGGCTCCGAAGTTAAGAGCATGCACTGCTGAGGACAAGAGTCCAGTTTCTAGCACCCACAATGGGCAGTTCACAACCAGCTGTACCTCCAGATCCAGGAGGATCTGATGCTCTCTTCTGAACTCCCCAGGTACACACACACACACACACACACACACACACACACACACACACACACAAAAAAAAAAAAAAAAAAACTAAATAAATAAATCTAAATATTAAATCTAGATTTTTGAATCATCTATTTAGGGAATAAATGTTAAAGCTCTCCCAAACTACAGGGAAAAAATCAAGAACATTCTAAGCTTGTAACACATTAATAGACATCCTTGTATGGATGGGTACAGAAGAAAGTATATACATACCTTCCTTTATTTGCAATCAAACAGAGTTCAGAGACTAGTGGGGAAAGAATACTGCACCACAGAAGTAAGAGATTAATGAGAAGGAAATAGCTCCTAGAATGTGCTGGTGAAATTCTTTAAACTTAAGGGACAAAAAGTCGCATGTCCACAAGGTCATCAGCGGGCAGAAATCAAACCACTCCATCACAGTGCTAAATGGCGAAATACAATGGAATAATATAAATAGATCTCTCGGAGGAAAAGGTTTTAGCCTCAATATTTCTATTCCCTGGCAGAAAATCATTCATGTGAAAATGCACAGAACGACATTTTTCAGACAACAGGAAAAGATGCTAAAACGGCATCCATTAATTGTGTCTAAAAAGATTAACAGGAATTTAAGAGGCATTAGAGCAGATCAGTAGGATTGAAATATTAATGTACACTATCTAGTTTATGTAACAACCAGCAAATACAGAACAAGGCATTCATCTTACTCGTATTGTGAGGGTAATTGGGCGGCCATTTCCTGTTGCTTCATTTGGGTTAAAGCTCAGGGTTGCATCTCTTAGAAAGTCTGGCTTCAAAATGTATCCAGAGCCTCCATTATCCAAAAATTTCCCATTCTGCAAATCCATAGGCAGTCCAGGGGTTTGGAAATTCAAGGCCACTGTGATAAAAAAAAGTATGTTGTCAGGAAACAGGGAGTGCAGTTAAAAAGACTCAGTTCAGTGGTGTGTCAAAATCATCACACACTGCTTATCTTCATGTATTCCAAGAATATGGATCATTCCTCTAATAATTCATGGTTCTTAAATATTTTATTGCTGTCTTACTCTGGTAATTTGAATGAAAATGGTCTCCATAGGCCCATAGGGAGTGACACTATTAGGAGGTGTGGCCTTGTTGGAAGAAGTGTGTCACTGAGGGTAGGCTTTGAGGCTTAAATTACTCAAGACAGACCCAGTGTCTCTCTCTCTTCCTGCTGTCTGAGGATCCAGATGTAGAACTCTCAGCTACCTCTCCGAGATCATGTCTGCATGCATGCTGCCATGCTTCCTGACATGATGATAAAGGACTAAATCTCTGAACTGTAGGCCAGCCTCAATTAAACTCTTTCATAAGAGTTGCAGTAGTCATAGTCTCTTCACATGTCTCTTCACAGCAATAGAAACCCTAACTAAGACACTTGCCTATGTTAGTGTGCATCTGTGAATTGTCACATTTAATTTGTAAATTAAATTATTATATAGTTGTTGGTTGGAGGGCTAGTTTTTGAGACAGAGTATCATATAGCCCAGGCTGGCCTCAAACTCTCCATGTAAGAGAGGAAGACCTTGAACTCCCAAAGCCCTTGCCTCCCTTTTCCCCAGTACTGAGATTACATGCATGCCTCATGATATCCATCTACTAGACAGCTTGGAATAAGGAAATAAAAGTGGCATTCAGTATGGATTACAGAAAAGCAATGTGTGTGTCAGATAACATTCATTAAATATAAAAATAAAGAAAATAAGGCTGGGGCTCTGACAAAGGGGTAGAGTGTTTTCTTAACCTGTGTGGGGCCTTAAATTCACTCATCAGTACTGGTATATACTATTAAAGAAGAGAAGGCACCAACTGTATCACAAATATCCAGGTCCAAGAGGTGGATATGTTTTCTAAGAAGGTGAGTATATATAGTGCCTAAAAAGTGGTCCTGGTACACAGTCCTTCCTCAAGCCCTCCACATTGCATCTGACCCCACTCCCCATCTCCTTAGGCCTACATGTGCACCTCTCCACAGTCCAGGAAATGAAGAGTGATCAGTGACAATGACACTGAGTGGTTAGTGCTGGTGCCATGCCTGCTCTTTGGTTAGGAACAAGGCAAATCTGGAATGGAAAAATAACCAGCCCAGTGACCCTACTCACCTTTTGAGGCTATGAATATCAAAGCTCCCACAAAAGTGAAATGATGGAAGATACTTGGCTTGAAGAGGGCTCGAACTTAACTCAAGCAAGGCACCTGGTCTTCAATTCCCCTCCTGTCCCTCTGGTCTTCCTGTCCCTCAAGCATACATGTTCCAGTATCAAGTCCTTGTGAATTAGTCTAAAACTTCCAACCTTCTCTAGTCATTTCGGGAAAACTTAAGCTCTAGAAACCAGTGACTTACCATGAGTGCCTGATCCCACTTCCAGAACCAAAACTTTTCCAGAAATGTCCATTAACTCACACAATGAGTTAATTTCTACTTACATTTGCAGATAGCTCATTATCCTATGTAACATACCCATCTGACAGCCTACATTCCAAAACTCTTGAGGGTTAAAATTAGAAGAGTCTGCTCTCATAAGTTTTGGGTAAACTCTGGTAATGAATGTCCTGGTGTGGAGAATGAATTCATGTGCTAAAAGAAGAAAAAAGTAATACAACTTTGTGAAGCATTTGTAATCAGTGAAACAAGCTATTTTTGTATATTACTCATATGTGTGAAACAATTCTTTGCATGTCCTTGACAAAAAAAAATTATCACAAAATAAAAGAGAATCCCATACATTTATGCTTGTAGAATAATTCATAATATTTTATAATAACTTCATGGAATAATTTATGTACATTGACTATATACTTGAACTATTTCACTTTTACACATCCAAATTAATTCCACATTAATACAAGAATAAACACAATTCCAAAATAAATTTTTTTAAGTAGCACATTTACCAATTTGGTTTTTTTACCCTCAATTTTCATATTGAGATGGACTCACATGTAAGTCATACAAGGCTGTGTGTTTCTAGTTAAATTAATTTAGCGATCTTTTCACATAATTATAGACTTTGGAGGGACCATCGAGTTATTGGCTTAGTCCCCAGACCTCTGGTCCAGCATCTTTCTTTTCAAGTGTATCCAATCTCTGCTTTCAACCTTCCATTTTATATCTCATATCTCTGTTGCTGGGCTATCTACTTGCTTGTAATATGTACATATGTATGTATGCATGCATATGTAACCAATATGTACTCTGTGTATTTCTGCTTGTCTATACCATTAGTGGCTTGGGATTAAAAACTAATTTGCATCCTTTACCATTTGACTGACATCCCTTTAGTTTTTTTTTTTTAACACAGATGCCATGTTTTCTTCAAGATTTTGCTTCTTTCACTGAACAGATCTCACTGCCACAACCATTTCTGACAGTATGACAATCAACATTGAGGGAAATGGTTGCTATGTATAGCCCATGGTATTTGCTAATGGGACAGAACTCTTTCCTCCTTGTCCTAAATATTATTCTTTAAGAAGTATTGCTAATTTAAAAGCCAAATGTTGTTTTGAAATCATGCTCCCTTCTGTTCTCTGAAGAAAGTCTATCTGTAAACACAATATGCACACTTGGGACCTAGAGCTTACCATCTACATAGTGACACATGAATGATAACTAAGGCTTCAGTAATGATAAACTCAGAGTGTTAACATGATTGGATTAAGAAACACCCAGGCATCAGTGAGGCACAACTACATGTGTGCCCATGAGGGTATTTCTACAGAGGATTAACTGAGAAAGATCCCCTTAATATGGGTGGCATCAATCCATGGACTAGGTTCTTGCATTGTTAATAAAAAGGAGAAATGAGGAAAGTCAATTGATCACAAACATCCATCTCTCTTGCTTCCTTATCTAAAGAGATGTGAGCAAGCAGCTGCTTCATGCACCCACCACCATGGAATTATAGCCATCATACTTTCAAGGCCAGGATGGACTATGTTTCCTCAAACTGTGAGTCACCTCAGCTTCCTTCCTGAAGTTGCTGCTTGTCAGGCACTTGGTTATGACAATGAGAAAAATAGCTAACACAGTCTTGTAATGTGGTATCCCTGTGTTGTTTCTGAAATTTGCCACCAGAAATTACACATAATTTATTACAAACGCACTTCATAGTCTTCCTAGAAACATATGGAAATCAAATAAAAAAAAGAGGAAACAAAACTACATACAATCTCATCACTCAATTAAGAATTACCAATAACTGAATGGTGTGTTTCTTTCCATTCTTTTCTATCTATATGCTAATTTTTCAAATGGATTTATGTTATGTATTCCCTTTTACTGGTTGCCTTTTTAAAAAAAACTTAACTGGAATAATGTGAAAATCATTCCATTTTTGATAACATTCCCAGATTTTATTTTTGTGATGTGTATAATGATAAATATAGTAATAGTAGGTATCTATGCAGTCAAACCTTTGCCACTGTTATTAATTATTTAATTACTGACTTTTGGTACAAGAAAAATGTTCTACTCTCTTTATGATGCTATGCACTATATCTGGGCTTACCCTTACCCAATCACTTTCTAAAATTGTTTATGTGTGTTTGTGTGTGTGAGAGAATTGTGACCACTCCCACTATGCCCAGAGTTCCTGTTCTTATAAATCTAAAAAGCTGCCCAACAGTTTGAGGTGTCAGATGCCAGCTAGTAAAGTAGGTCATCTTGACCACACTGTGCAGTAAGACATATACACAACTCAAGTTGGGGTGATCAGTCAGCAGATAAGAGTTCCTGCTGAACAAATATGCAGCCCCAAGTTTACATCCCCACTGCCCATATAAAAACCCAGCATGGCTACATGAGCACCTGTAGCCTCGGCGCTGCGGCAGGATGGGGATGCACTGGGTGGATCAGTGAAGCTTGCTGACTACCAGCTTAGCTCCAGGTTCAGTGAGAGATCCTGTCTCGAGGGAATCAGGCAGAGTGACACAGTAGGAACCTTATATCTTCAACTGGATTCTGCATGATCACAAGTTCATACATCCACATATACATATCAGTCTCCTCTCTCTCTCTCTCTCTCTCTCTCTCTCTCTCTCTCTCTCTCTCTCTCTCTTTCTCTCTCTCTCTAATGGTTTCATAAAATATTCCTTCTTGTTCCATTCTACTCTGTTTTTTTTTCATTCCACACCATTGAATAGTACTCTATCTTTTATTTATCAGACCCTCCGCTGCTGTGCAATGCACCTTTCCAAAGCATGCAGTAATTCAGGCCACTCTTGGATTGCAGCCTGCTTCTGCTGACACTTTCTCCGAGGGAAACCCCAAGTGTTTGACAGTGAGCCCTGTCACTCAGCACTCCGTAGTGCCATCTGCTCACCACAGATTTGCCCACAGAAGGGTCCACACTTCACACTCTCAATTCAAATGTCATGACTTAAAGAAGGCACTTAAAGCAAAATGTTGACACACCTTTAATCCCAGCACTTGGTAGGCAGAGGTAGGTAGGTCTCTGTGAGTTCATGGCCAGCCTGCTCTACAGTGTGTTTCAGGCCAGCCAGGACTCCATAATTATACCTTGTCTAAAAAATCAAGGCAAAGTTTTGTGATGTGAAAGAATGCAATTCAAAAATACAACCCCTTCAATTTTAATATAACCCCTAATAATTTAATAAGAATATATATTCATAAATATGCTCAACCCATGTTAACCCCCCTAGCAGTGAATAAAATTAACTTAAATACTCTATCCTTTGGAGTTTTTAGCATTTACCTCTCAGTTTTGAAAGTTTTCGAGCTCGAGACTCCCCAATAGAATTATTCTCATTAAATTGCTGATAGAGTCTTGAATGTTGTAAGCTCCGGAACTTCTCGGCTTTAGTATAAATGACAAGATCAGATAAGGCCAGAGCTATTCTTAGCTTCCTGCTCTAAAAATAAAATGCAGTGGTTTCACATTTTTACACTAATCATTTGAAAAGTTCCTTTTCTAATAACAAAAATATGCTTTTAAAGAGATCATTTCAGTTTATTCTTAAGCTTATTTCTCCCAAAATCCTTTGGACTAAGTCAATGTGATTGTTCTTATGACCACAATATTTAATAATCATATGGACTAGACTGAACTTAAAAATCTAGTTAATGTTTCAAGATCTGAGAATAGTAATGTTTACTATTTTCTCACCCCCCCAATCTCATCTTATTCTCATAAATTTTACAAATTTAAAAACTGTAATCACGAATATATCTCCAGTTTGTTCTGACATTTGGGGAGAGTTTCTGTTGTGTAGTAGATATTTGCTCCTCCACTGCAGTTCTCCCAGTCACTTCCCAGGTTTGTGAAAAACAGCCCTTACTCATGCTCCTGCTACACATTAGTATTTAAGTTAGTACATAAATGATAGATTTCTTCATGACATCCTGACACATATGTATTATTATACTTTGCTCAAACTCATCTATCTCCCACACTGCCCTCCCCGTGATCCCTCTGGCTGCCTCCTGTTCTTCCCCTCCTCAATTTTTATGTCACGTGGATTCTACTATCTTCCCCTAGTCCCATTTCAATCCTTTATATTTCTTCATCCTCTTTAGTAGTCCTCTTCCTACTTTTGAGTCGTATGTGTGCGTGCGCGTGCGTGCGTGTGTGTGTGTGTGTGTGTGTGTGTGTGTGTGTGTGTAGATGTGCATAAATTTGAATATTGATTTCCATATCAGAAAGAACATGCAGTGTTTGCCTGAGCCTGGCTGCTCTCCTGTAGTATAATGATCCCCAGCTCAAAGACAGTAGGTGTCAAGAAATAAAGAAGACCAAAGCAAACTAGGATGCCTCCATCATCCCTCTGCAAGGCTCAGGGAGCACTTCAGAAGGGGAAGCAGAAAGATTATAGGAGCCAGAGGTCAGGAACATTGCTGAGAAATAATGTTTTCCAGACACAGCACGGCCGCTGCACCAGCGAACCCACAGCAGGTGTGGTTGCCTGCACAAGCCCCCCACAAGATCAAGGCGGCCAGAATTCTACCAAGAAGAGGGTAGGAGCACCTGTGGCTCTATTAGCAGTGGAGGATCACGGAAGGAAAGAAAGCCAGTTTTCTTCAGCAGTGTGGCAGTGAGAGGTTGCTCTACACCCATGAGCATATAGATGAAGATACTAGATGAACATACAAGATCAACACACAGGCAGCATTAGTTGGACTACAAGGAGGAGAGGGAAGGAAGGAAAGAAGGAGGAGGGAGAGGAAGAGGAGGAAGAAGAATTCACTAAGTGGGAGGAGTGTATGTGGGGGCAATGAAAGGAGGTGCAAGGGAAACACGGAGTGGATATGACCTAAACATATTGTGTCTGTGTATGAAATTACAAAAAAATAAAAATTTAAGATGATAAAAAATAGAAACACATATCAAAGACCCGCAACTGAAAAATAATGGAAATCCAGTCAATTTAAAAGATAAGACAGAATTTGATGAAGTGGAAACTAAAAATTGACACATAGAACCCATCAAACAAAACGTTAGCTCTTTGAAAAAATAAACCAGATCAACAAACCTCTATCCAAACTAATCAAAAGAGAGGATATCAGAAGAATAAAGTTAGAGACATAGAGGGTGTTACAACAGAGTCTGGTGAGGTACAAGGGAATTATTATTATTATTAGGAATACTTTGAAAACTTAAATTCAAAAGAAAAATCTAGAAGAAATTGACAGATTCCTAGATGCATAATGCTTCTCCATGTTTAAATACAAATCATTCCACAAGGTCTTCCCAGACAGAGCTGACCACTATAGTATCAGCAAACTGATGCAAATGGACAGACCATGGGAGACATTCAAAACAAAATGTCTCTCTCTTAGATAGGCATGCACTGTGTTTGATCCTATAAAGTATACAAAGCTGAATTTTTGCACTAATCATCCCCAAATACAGAGAAAGCAGGACCAAAGATGCACAAAGAAGTCTGGCTACCTGATTTGAAACACTACATCAAGCCATCCCTCAATTAAGATTTGTTCATGCAAGGGAGGAAATAAGATCTCATCTCATGGATACTAGCATATAACACAATGCATGCATTTTAATATAATATTATATGTAATACTAATGCATACCATACTGTGCAGCATTAACATTGACTCTGTTGCTTCTGTCTCTGCTGCAGGACAGAGAAATTGTGTTATTTACCTCTGCATCCTTTCTACTCTGTAAATGCCTATTACTTAAGAGCTTTATTCCATCGAAAGCATTTTAGAAAAAGCTACCTCAGAAAGAGAGAGAGATTTCAAATGTTCTTATCCACTGCCAACCTCTTTCAGATAAGATTTTAAATTGGACTCAAGTTCTCATTAAGAGGAAGCTGACTCCCTTACATAAAATTATTTCAGCTCTCCACTGACAACATTAGAAAGCTTTGATAGCTTGTAAGATTCTCAAAAAACATGTTCTCACCTTTTTGGTGGCAAGTACTCCTCCGGTCAGCTTTGAGAGACTTATGTCCTTTGCCTTCTGGAGCCGTGAGAAAAAGATGTCTTGTGTTTCTGGTCCACTTATTAATTCACCATCATCATCTTCATATATCTCTTCTTCTAACTCTAACACCTGGCCCTGTTTTTTAGTCCCCTTCCTCTCACGGGTTTCCAATAAGGTTCCTATTTTTTTATTTTTCACTAATATTTTGAATTTTAGTGCCTATAAAAACAATTGGAAACAGACCAGATTTACAAGTAAGTCATCACTGCAAACTTGAGAGGTACCCCAACATATATACAATAAAAAGAAAGCAGGACTGAGTCTGGGAATTCACCTACAGTAGCAAGATATGGCAGGGACCTCATTGTGTTTTAGAACGCTATTCATGCTCATTAGGACCAGCAGTATTATAGTACTGACCATAACTCACCATAAAAGAAGCCTCCTGGGACTTACCATAAGTGATCTTTTTTATATTCCACAAATTGCTACTAATTGATAAGTTTGAAATAGGTTGAAAAGTGTATTATTGTGCATTGAAATGTCATATTGTTGAAGACAAAAGATTACAACTTCTGGCAGTAGATAACCATACTCTTATCCAACAATAAAAGCATCCAATGAGAGCAGGTATATAAAAATGTCCATCAGCCTGTCTGACATCCAATATGGATTGCATTCAAAACATCTAAGGCTTCTTCAGTTGAAACTCATGCACGTATCAATGACTTCGTATTTCCAGTCCATCAAATCACAGATGTAACAAAATTTACCACACCGGGAAGAGTCATTAGCTCTGAATTCAAAGCCTTCTTCATTTCTCAACTATCTCCGCCCTTTTCAACAATTTATTAATATATTTGAGTGCCTGCTATATCACCATATCACATAAAATACTGAAATACACGTTCTGAAGTAAAGCTTGCCCCTAAGGAATCCTTAGTCTTCCTTTCTTCTGTCAGATTCATACCTTGAGTCTTCTCTTTTATGACGGCCCTTACATTACTCTCTAATGTGGAGTTTACCAAAATGTATTCTGTGCCCGCACACCAAAGGCACTATGAATGATGCTTGCTAAAGAGACACATTTTGGGTATGTACTTCACAATTAAGAAGTCAAAATCTTAAATCATCTTTCATGACTCAAATGTCCATTACCTGCATGCAGTCCTTCCACATCACATCGTGTTAACCCTTTTTAGTTCCCCACTGGACACCTGAATCATGAATGAGAATACAAAGCTAATTGTTTTCCTAGTCTTAATTCTGTTGTGGATTTTTTCCATTCCTTTTGGTGGTGGATAAATTCATAAAAAATGCAATTCATAGTGAAAGTGTAAAATCCAGCATGACTCTCCACAGCTTCAGAATGGCTATCCTAACTGTACAGGAATTGGTTGACACCTATGGACTCTGAGTTAAAGTCTTAACAAAAGCTTTTTAAATCTAAAATTGTGGGACTGAAATAAGGCTAAGTTACCAAGTTCCCAGGTAATTATCTCTCACACTGAAGACTGAACACAGTGAGAAAAAGGAACTTTCTCTCTAATCACTCATTGATTCCTCAGAAGTCACCCCCCTACAGCAATGTGGGAGCTGAAGCCTCCTGAAAGCCATGGAGTAGAAAGCAAGAAAAAAAGACATGCTAACAGGATGCAATATTCATAGAGGGTTATTTAAATTTTTCCCAGGATTGGATCATGGCTCTGAAGTTACATCTTGGGTGATTTATGTCCAGCATTTTGCATAAGTTCTTACAACTTTTATCAATTAAGCATGCTTAGCCTTAGAGCATTCTTCCGAGGTAAAAGAATCATGATTTTTCCACTCACCAATAAGTTTATGTTGTCTGTCTTAGTTGTATCATGTGAGCACATTCATTTTTTAAATTTTTCATTCATTTAAACAACATGAGGAAAAATATTCAAATATCACAAAAATAATGCTATATTACCAAAACTTTAGTCACATCAAAACTCAAGTATTGATTGTTAGAAAATACTATTGAGGAAAAAGAAAGGTCACTTATCATTTTATGGCATTGGGAGTTATAGGTCAGCCACAGAAATCTAAGAGAAGTGTGTTTGAGAGAGCAGGTCACACTGTGTCTATGCCTAAAGCAATGTTGGAACAGAAGGCAGCATTTTAAGGTAAGAAATGAGCAGAGAAGACTTGGGTCCTGTGTGTTGCTGAGGAAACAGATTGTGTGTGTTCTAAGACAAACCCAGTGGGATCCATCAATAGAAGGACTGATGGTGACGTGGTTGAGCAGCTCTCTGGGGCAGGCAAAGAGGAGATAGACAGAAGGGAGTCCTAGGGGCTGACTTAAAAGAAGGGGAGTTTACTCCCTGCCTGCTGATATTTCAAGTATGGATTCTGTTACAACCTGGGTATCTCACCTCTTTCTTAACATTTTGCCTATAAAGTATATCAAACTCTTGAGGTTTTACATTAAAATGCCTCCATAGGTTGCACTCATGGATGAAGTAAAGCATATCACCAAAAATGGATTCTACATCTATCTCTGCTTTTGGTTCTTTTCCTGTTACTGTTCTAAAATATCTTGACCAATCCACTTAAAGGAGGAAGGATTTATCTCAGGTCACAGTTCCACATCACAGTCCATCACAGCAGGGAAGTCACAGCAGCTGCAGGAAGTCGAGGGAGCTGGTCACACGAATGCATGCATGCCAGTGCTCAGCTTTGTCAGTTAGAACAGGTTCCATTCACGAGATGGCTCTTGCCACATCAGTTAATGCAAGCAAGGCAATCCCCCAACAAAAGCATGCCCAGAGTCCAACCTCCCAGGAGATTCTAGATTATGTCAAGTTGACAATTAGCAGAAACCACCAGTTTCTATGAATGTCCTTCATTTACATGTTCTCTTCCTTCACCAACATCACTTAAACTTAACAGAGCATTTCTTAGACAACATGTAGCAAAGCACCTTCTCTGTCAAATGATCAAAACCAAGCATCTGTGCTGGTCTCTAACCTACTCGAGAAGGTGACCACAATGTTCTTTGTTTTTTGTTTTTATTTTTTTCCTTCATCTGGGCATCTCAGACAAAGCATTACCTCTGGAGACGGTAGTCTATCTGGAAACTCATCAAGCATATCGGAGAGCAGGAAGTCTCCAAAGGTACTCTGCAGAATGTCAGCCATCACTTCCTGCTGGCCAGGCGAGCAGTGGTTCTCCAAGGACAGCACCACTGGGTACTCAGATGACTAGAATATGAACCATTGCTATGGTTACGCATCAGAACTTTTAAATTGCCCTAATGCAATTCATCTAAACATTTTATCTCAAAATTCACCTCCAAGAGTCTTTGCAAAATAAGCGTGCTTTAAATTGAAAATCATCTTTTCAACTGACAAAGCAAAAACCTCCATAAAGAATATTCACCAGGCTTGGGGGCTTAGGCTTGTAATCTCAATTCATCAGGAGGCTGAGGGGAAAAGCACCCACACTCAAGGCTAGCCTGGGCTAAAGAATCTAAGGGCAGCCTTGACAACCAAGTAAGAACTGGAGTTAAAATAAAAGGTAAAAATAGAGGTGGAGATATAGCTCATTGGTAGAGCCTTTGCCTAGCATGCACAAAACCCTGGCTTCAATCTCAGTGCTCAATCCTGGCCTCAAAAGATTTGTGAAGCTGTATATTACCATAGAAACTGCTGTAACATATTCTTATGGGAAGAAAACTTACCTAGAAGACCTTGGGTGTTGAAAGTCCCCCAAAGGTGAGGGTGGATTGCTTAATTAACAAAATAATGGGTTTTATTATAATACTCTCATGGATGTCCATCACTGTACATTGTAATATGTCTATATTCACACATATTATAGGCTATTCACCATAAATGAAATTTCTTTTTAAATTTCATTTTCACCTAGGTTATTGATTTAAAAATGTTATTAATTTTTATTCTATAAATTTACTGAATTCATTTACTAGTTCTCATAATTGTTTGTGAGATGTTTGGGTGTTTTTTTTTTATTTGTTATCATGTCACCTGAAAATAGAGAAAATTTTATTTCTTCCTTCATAATTTTAGTGTCTTTTACTAATCTATTTCTATGCTTATACTTATTTAGTATGTGTGTGCACACACATGTATGTGCACGCCCTTACCATACACATGTGTGGAGGTCAGAGGACAATGTGAAGAGTGTTTCCTTCTTCTACCATGTGGGTTCAGGGATCTAACTCAGTTTGCCAGGCTTGGTGGCCCAAACCTTTACACACTGAGCCGTCTCACCAACCCATCCTTTTATTATTCTTGTCCAATTGCTCATCTCTGTTCTTTGGAGTCTTAGAAAATTTAGACTTTTACATCCTTGTGAGGACTTTGAACTTTAAGACTGTATCTATTACCTTGTAGTATCTAGTTATCCTAAACTAAGTGAGGGATGTCATTCAAACATTTAGGAAGAGCATTTTAGACAAATGGAGCATTAAATACAAAGATTTTAGATGTATCTGAAAAACAAAACAAAACCCTGATGAAACAGAGGAGTTCAGAGGTCACAGAAAACTAGTCACCTGGGACCTTGTGAGTCAAAGGTGGAGTCTAGTTTTTGTTCTGAAAACCTTTAGAAGTGGTAATGATGTGGCTCTGATGCACATGATGGATAAGAAATAAATATAACCCAATTTCTAGTTTATGTTTACAGATTAAGTGATGTATTCAGAGGGGAACATTGAGTTTATTGAACCTTCAGGTTTCCTTTTGTATGTACATGTTTAGTTAATCTCCACCCCACCCTCCGCCAGAGCTGAGGACCAAACCCAGGGCCTTGTGCTTGCTAGGCAAGCGCTCTACCACTGAGCTAAATCCCCAACCCCTGTTCATGTTTATTAAGTAATTACTGAGGAGGATTTAGTTAAATCTTTTGATGGTACAACAGTTGTCATTTTTTTTCTTTCTGGTTTTTCGAGACAGGGTTTCTCTGTGTAACAGCACTGGCTGTCCTGAAACTCTCTCTGTAGGTCAGGCTGGCCTCAAACTTACAGAGATCCACCTGCCTCTGCCTCCCAAGTGCTAGGATTAAAGGCATGTGCCACCATGTTCTGCCCAACAGTTTCAATTCTTAAGAAAATAAATCAGCTATATTAAATTTCACAACAGATTATCTAAAGTTACACCATTAGCCAGCTTAGAAAATGGAGCCAAGTATTGCTCAACACTCCTTTAAAAACTGTATGAGAGATTGCTCAAATCAGCCCAAATCAGATCAGACTTGTCAAGTGAAGTTAGATCTTTGCATCTGTAACTAATGAATTAGTCAATCTAAACTTGAAAGTATACTTCAGAACACTATTTGTTATTATCATTGCTGTTGTAAATAACTTCAGCAATGAAGATGATGCACAGTTGACACATTTTATTTTTGTCTTAAAAGTAAAATATTTGGGCATGGGCAAAATGGTCATTATTGTCTAGACTGGTATATCTCAAACTTTGGGTTTATGACACATCAGAAAAATAAATATATTTCTTAGCATAACACAACACACACAAGACTGAACAAGAGGTCCCATGAACACTCACTACCTTTCACTTTGATAAATGTACCTTTAGCTACTAACAACAACCACATGGATTTGGCTGCCTATTGTAGCTCACAATTTAAAATGTCACAGGTTTAAAGAAAGGTCACACTTTGCAGAATTTGGGAGCAGTAAATCTAAATGACTGTAGCAGAGACATGCACATACCATGAAGGCGTACTTGTTTATTGCTTGGATAACAGTTTTGAAGAGAAGCTTGCTGGTCAATGTGTAACCGTGGTACACAATAGGTTCATTTTGTGCCCCATCCCAGCAGTCAATTTCCAGACAGCGGCAGCCTTTCACAAGAGCACTAACAAAAGTTAAGCAAAATAGTGTCATATCCAGACCATGAACAATGGGTAGAATAAGATCAAATATTCAGACTTTTAAAATAAATATATAAGCCAGTCTGCAATAGAGAAAAGTTTTGAACCTTAGAAAATTGCAACCTTATAAAGTAGAAACATTCTCTTCATGTCATACAAACAGACTGGTTCTCCTGGGTCAACCATTTTACTCTGTATTGATCTCTTTACAAAGCTTATATGTACTAGGGTGGAAAAGATGGCTACCTCCAGTTACACTTCTGAAGCTTTATGCCCCCAACACAAACAGTATTGCTAATGGTGCTATGGCTGTTGACTTTGTCATCCTTGTGCTATATATACAAAGGCATCTGGAAATAGTAAAATACATTAATAAGATTGTATCTGATTCTTTTCATCACACTAAGTTTGGGGGAGTGTACTACATGGTGAGAAGGGGAAGGAGAAAAGAAATATCATGGCTTGTGCAAGTGGAAAAGAGTGAGCTTGACAGCCCAGTAAACATGTTTGACTGTCTCATGTCACCTCATGCAGGGACCACTGGAGCCCTATTCCAGCTATACAAAACAAGAAGTCTGCATACCTGCTCATCTATGCCGCTTTGACTCAATTTCTTTGGAGAAAATTTTGAGTGACTGTTTCAGAATGCACAAATTTCACAGCTTTCTCCAAACTGAGGAAAATAGATTCCCACTTCTACTCAGATCTAAAACTAATTTGATTTTCCATCTATCAAATAAATCGGCTTCTTGATCTATGCATAAATTCTATCTTGGGTTCTGAAGTCAGTTGCACCCACTGGGTTTAAATGGATTTTCAGTGTTCTTACCCAGAGAGTGACTGACACTTTAATAAACATATACCTTTATTTAAACCATGGCAACTGAAGCAGATGGCATTCAGATTTTTCACTGAGTTGATAATGGTGAAGGTGCATGAAGAGAGCTGTTGCTAAGGTCTTCAGGGATAGCCTTGAGCAGTCTTTTACATCAGTGTGAAATAGGTTGGGCTTTTACCAGAGTTTACTATAATTTCTTGATTTAGTTGCAAAAAAAAAAAATGTTTTACTGTGGTGGGGATACAGCTCAGTGGCAGGGTGCTTTCTAAGCTGCACAAAGCCTTAGCTCAATCCTCAGGATTACAAAAGGTATGTTTAGGGAGTCATTCAAATGTGCATAATAGAAATAAGATTTTTATTTCACATGTACACACAGTTGCTTAGAACTAAATACACCTTCCTTCTTTTGTTTTCCTGTGTTCATGTCCTGATGGGGACTAACATATGCTAACACAAAGGCCAACACCACTGACACAGTGCAAAAGTATGGCATCCTGCCAGAGGTTAGACTCCCACTGTATCCATTGTTCATTATGCTCTGAGTTCCATGAAAATGGGAAGCTACACACTCATAAAAACTGTCTGACACAGAATTAACAATCCATTGGTGTTCTGTATTTATATGAGAAAATGACAGGAGTCCTGGTGCCTAAGAAGAAAAGGAAAGGAGATAGAACTAAACTACATATTTGGAGGAGACAAAGCTGCATAAAACCAGGCTGAGTTGAAGCACCAGAGTCCTAAAAGGTACTCACTTACTTGAGAATGGGTTAAGCAATTCTCTTGTCTAAGCATAGAACTACTCTCTCCACAAAGAAAAGACTGAAGGCTGACTTTTTCAGAAGAGTCTTATGTTATCTGTTTTGACTAGGTGGCAAGTTCCCAGGTGGAGGTGTATTGAATCCCAGAAGATGTCTAGCAATGTCCAGAGGTGGTTTTGGTGGCCACAACTGAAGACAGTGATAAGATTTAAGCAGACACCTTGGAGGTGCATGCAGGAATGTGGGTAAACATCCTACTATGTGGAGCATGGACCTCTCCCACCAAGGGTCATTTGATTCAAACATGAGAGTGTGGGAAAGGCTGGCTCCACGTTGTAGTAGCATGGGCGGGAGACTGTGGATTGATAGACATTGATCATATGCTGCATTCAGGGAAACAATGAGATTGTGTGTTCCCTGGGAAATAACAGATAAATGATGGGAGGAACCTGAGACCCAGGACAGCTGAGCAAAAGAGAATGGATGGATTTTCTATATCTTGGAGGCATCACCAAGACCATCTTTCTTGGCCGTTCTGGGGGTTTAGGGAACTGTTTAGTTTTTCATGCATACCTCTCTGTGGTGGTGTGGTGATGGACCATAATGGAAAGCTGCAGAGCTGTGGTCTGTGGGAACCTGTCTGGAGGGCTCTGAGAGAACTGATTAACCAACATTAATCTTTACAGAGGCAGCTAAGGCACTGTCAAATTTTAGGAACATTAAACTGGGCTAAGTTTGTAGAATTATAAATGAACATGTTTCTAAATTTTTTACAGATATTTAGATTTTTAAGTTAGAAAAGGTGGAACCTTTACTTGTACTGTTTCCTAATTCCCATGATAGAACATCTGCTTTGCCTTCCTTTTAGGAATTATCAAACCAAACTATGCTGTACTCTTCCATACAGAATATCCATTCTCTAAAGTTCTGTTGGGCAATGAACTTGAACTCCTCTGTATCAGCACTGTCTAAGACTTGATGTGGAAGAAAACTTTTGACAAAGATTTGTCAACAATACTGATTCTCACTGCTTCTCTAGACTGTTTCAATTTTACCCATAATTGAACCAACCTTTACAAAAACTGCACATTCTGAACTTACCATTTGGTTCCTACTAAGAAAGTTTTAAGTGGGTTGTACTGTCTGGTGCTAGACATTTTTTTCCTGAGGCATGTGATCTGTTTGTTAGTCACTCTGGTTCTTTTGTGAGAATAAAGGGATGTCATTTCTCATTCACTAGGGGAATATTCTCTCTCTTAGTAGCCATGTTATCTTCGGGTCACTATAAATCTTATAGCTAGTTCTCTTCTCCCTTAGTTTCAACTGCTAGAGGTCCTTTGATTGGGTACTCTAGCATGTGTACAAGACTTTGTGGCATGAAACTCCTACTCTTAACTTTATTTCATCTATTAATCTTTAAAATCTCCCTTAGATACTGCCTAGACAACAGTATAAAATACTATGTTTTTTATTTATGGGAAATTACTTTCTATTGTGTGAACGGTATTCTTTTATTTGTAAATGAATTTCAACTGCAAAAAAAAGATCTGGATTGGGGCTAGGGCATGTAGCTTAGTTGGCAATGTGCTCGCTCTCACCTCACGCAGGAGGCCCTGGATCCTATCTCCTGCACAATATCAACCATGCATGTCAAAAAACACTTATGATCTCAGCACATAAGGAGTATCAGAAGTTCAAGGCCATCCTCAACTATATCATAAGTTAGAGGTCAGTCTGGGATACTTGAGACCCTGTCTCAAAAAACAGCCCTCATATTTGGAGAGCTTTTGGTGAATTAAAATGTTTAATGTTAAATATGGTGTTGCTGGCTTTTTATTTTAAAGATGAAGTAGATATGTGTGAAGGTCGTAACTGTCATGTGATGAAGAGGGGAGAGGAGAGAGAGGTAAGAAGAGGACCAGAAACTCACACACTCACTCTGGTATACTGCTTTTATCATTTGCAGAGAACAAAGACATTTGGAAGCATGCTCTAATGCTTATCTTCCAAAGGTGTTTTGAAGGAACAAGAGAAGAAATGCAACTAAACACAAACCCAGATTTTTTTTTCAGCTGATTGGAGCAGTTCTTGGAATTCAGAAGTAATTTCCTGTATATCTGAATAGATGCAGTTTGAACTTATTTCTTTCCTTAAAAAAACTGGAATAGTATCAAAATTTCTAACATAAAGTTGTAACTAGTAGGACTATACTGGATTCTTAAATGATAAGATTGTTGAATTTCATTTTTAAGTTATTACTTATGTTTTAATTTGGACACACATCAATTTATTTATAGTTTTATGTTATTGTAGGATTCTATCCTCCCTATATGATATTTTCCTTAAACAACATTATTCAGTCTCATAGTTTTAAATATTACCTATAAACCCATGGCTTCCAATTACATTCTTCCAGCTTGAAGGTTTTTCTGAACTACAAACTCCCATTACACTCATCTGCCTACTTGACAAGGGCCTTGTGCAACAGTTTGGTGTCACAAAGTCGGCACAGAAGCCCTGACTCTCTCGCTTCGACCACGCACTCCACAATGAGCCTTCTGAGTAAGCATCAACACCTCAGTCAACAGTCTCCCTACAGGCTTGGCTGCTGGGCCAAGCAACCTGATTTCTCTCCCTCACTTACCCTGCCTTCCACATGACCTGTCATACTTTCATGGTTCTGCCTCCTCAAAGCATTCAGCTTTTTATCATCTTGGCTTTTCCCCCATGTCTTCACCATCTACAATCATCATCACCCAGTACGTTGTACCTATCCTGCTCCTAGGGTGTCAAAGTGTGATGCTGTCTCAGGAAAATCTCATTGATGATTCCCCCACCTTTCCATGATCAATAAGGCCTTCATAAACTGACCCTCCTCCCCAAACCCAAACCCTTCATTTACCACACACCTGTGGCCAGATGTTTTCGCTAACTTCTAAGATTTGAATATGCCAAGTCTTATTATTTCTCCATTCTTTCATGTCTCCCTCTTTGTCCTCAGCCAGGATAGTTGAGAAACCTTTTCTGATAACGTTAAGTAACACCCTGAAGCCTACATTGCACTCTCTTATGTTGTTCAGTTTATCTTTTTCATAAGTCTCATCAGCCCCTGAAAATACTCATTTACCTTTTTTATCTGCCAATTCTCATGAATTTGTATAAAAACAATGAGGCCTCTAGAAATTCTCATTCCCCGCTAGATCTCTGCTGACTAAGCTGGACCCACTGTTACAGCACTGTGTCTTATAGGATACAAAGGTGGAGTTACCAAATGGCCTGATTTAATCTCTGTAAATTATTTAACATATTGATTCATAAAAACCACTGTAGAACACCAAACCACACAACTTACTATATTTATGAATTGGCTTTACTAAAAACATTGTGTCCTGATGTCTAAGAACTGATACTAAGTATATTTGTTAAAATCTGGTGTATTCCAAATAAGCATAACAATCATATTTCCCTATAAGAAATGTACAAATTGGTCAAGAAACTTCAGAGAGTGTAGACACATGGAGCAGAGGTCAGCAGGAAGGACCAGAGGGGAAACCTGTGATGTTAACATACACAGTATGTTGTATTTCCATTTCATCCAAAGGAAAGATCATCAATGTAGGAACAAACTACAGTTCCTAGTCCCTTTAAGTTTTGTTTTCATGCACAATCGCCTTATAACTCAGCACTCTTACTGAGTCAGTACGACAGCAGCTTTATATGCAGGAGACTTAAAAGTCAAAGTAGCTGATTGTGGTGGCACATTCAGGTGTGATATGCTGAAGAGGCAGAGGCAGGAGGATCATGGGTTCAAGGACAGCCTGGGCTAAAGATTCTAGTGGCTGAAAAGATGGCACCGAGGTCAAGAGCACACATGGTTCTTGCAGGAACCAGAGTTTGACTCCCAGCTCTCACAACCAGTGGCTCACTCCAGCTCCTTGGAGATCCAACACCCTCTTCTAGCCTCTGTGAACACCTACATTCATCTGCACAGAACTATACACAAACACATACACATAAACTTAATGAAAAATGAAAATAAACTTTTTTAAAGAATCAAAATAAATACCTTACATATCCCCAAATGTCACTTGCTCCCACTAATTGATCAGATATCAAATATGTGTTGTGAGAAGATGAAATAAAATAATTATTTAACGGCTGATTCATATCTTGATAGACTGTTTTACACTTTTCTTTAAATAGCAGACATTCTGGTGAAGACATATATCTTGCAAAACCTTCAAAGGACATCTGCCCTTTATTCTTCACTATAAAAAATAAGTAAAAAGGATGCAGACATACCATTAGTAACTTACAAGTCTTATATCTCATTTGTAAACCTAGTGGTAGAACATATTTATAAAATAGATATTTAGAATTAATATTAATAAATTTCTAAATCTTTTCTGGGAAATAAACTCATCTTATCTATGTGTGTGTCTGTGTCTGGTTGTCTATATAGACACCACATATATGTAGGTACCTGCAGAGGCCAGAAGAGGGCACTGGATCCCTTGGAACTGCAGTTATAGATGGTTGTGAGCCACAGTATAGGTGCTGGGAATCTAACTCGAGTCCTCTGGAAGAGCAGCAAGTGCTCTTAACCTCTGAGCCATCTCTTCAGCCTTGAGAAACAATTTTTTCTAGTTCTTTTCATTCTACCGCATCAACAGTTACACATGTATTATTCTATTACCTTTGATTATTGTTTTATCTTATAACTATACACAAGTATGGCTGTTATAGGTTACTGAACTTCTGTTTTGGATAACAGTCTATGGGCCGACCACTGTGGTACCCAGAAACCAGCCCCTGTTGACTTTCCAGTCACTGTCCCAACTCGGTGTGTGGAGACATAAAGCACAGATTAGTTTTCCTTTTGTACTTTGTGTGGATGGATTCACACAATGTGCTTTTTGTTGGTTTGGTTGGTCTTTTAAGATTTTTAAATTTTTTATTTATGTGTATGTACATGTGTCTAAGTGTGTATATGTACACATGAGAGTAAGTTTATGCTTTTTAAAGATGTTTCTTTTATTCATGGGTGTGTGTGTGTGTGTGTCTGTGTGTGTCTGTGTATATGCCCACATATATGCAGATGCCTATGGATGCCAAAAGAGGGTGTCAGATTCCCTGTAGCTGGAGTTATAGGCAGTGTGGGTACTGGGAACCAAACTCTGGTCTTCTACAAGAGCAACAAGTGTCTTAAATCACTGATCCATCTGTCCAGCCCAGTACGCTAGTTTTTGTTGTTGTTTTTTTTTTTTGTGTGTGTGTGTGTGTTTTACTTTCTTTGTGAGGTTTATTCCTGTGGTTACCTATAGTCACACATGACTCATTTCCATGCTTCCTATAGAATTCCATCAGGCGAGTGTACTATGCCTTATTCCTGTGTTCCATCCTTCATGAGCATGTGATTTCCCATGAGAAGCTGTCACAAAAATTTCTGCTGTAAACAGTGAGTACATGTACTGGGCTGTGAATATGCATTTCTGCTCTGTGCAGGCCCATACTATGATCACCTACAGCTAATTAAGTCTCAGCTTTTTACTCACTATAATGTGCACAGTGCACCTGTGCTCTGGATCCAGAAAGCTGGGTTTTGAATGTATTTGTTTGTCATGTACTACTTTAGAGTTGGGCCTTTCACTTTAGAGTTGGGCCTTTCACTTTAGAGCCTGGGCCTTTCATTTTGACTAGTGTCTGCTCCTTTTACTTTAAACTAGAGTCTAGGTCTTTGAAACCAAGTTAATTTCTAGAAATTAGTCCTGAAGAAGACAAAATCTAGATAAAAAGTGGTGTGCATACATACTAGCATTAGCATTGTTTATGAAAGCAGAATAAATAGGAGAAAGGAAAAAATGAAAGCTCAAGGTTTGGGACAGTGCAAAGTAGCCATTAAAAATGGTGTATCATAAGAATATAGTGATATAAGCCAGCCAATGTTTATGATAGAATAAAAGTGTAAAGACAGCTTTCAAAACACTGTCACTAAAAGAAAAGCAAACAAAAAAATATCCTGCTGTTCCTATTTTAGCCAAAACATAAAAATCTAGAAGAAAACACATAAAATTTTATAGACACACAAACTGTTTCAAAGCCATATAAACTCAAGAATATGGGGATTTTCAGAACAAAAGCATCATGCAACTTAACAACTATAGTTTGCATTAATTTATTCATTAGATTTGGCTTGTAGTCCTTTTGAGCTACTGAATAGTTAAGTAAATGTATTTGATAATAGAATACAAAAATGAAAGACTAGGGAAATGCCTCAGTTGGTAAAGTGCTGTTCAAGCACCAAGACCTGAGTTCAAACTCCAACACTCGTGTTAGAAATAAAAGACATGTCTTTAGTCCCAGCACTGTGGAGGCAAAGACTGAAGGATCCCTGGGCCATGATGGTCAAATGCCCAGCCAAACTACTGAGCTCCAGATTGTGTTAGAGACCCTGCCTCAAAAAATACAGTGGAGAGCAACTGGGGATGACACCCAACATTAACCTCTGCACACACATCTGCACATATGAACACATACACATGCAATAAAGAGTAGAAAACAAAATAACTTTGTGCCACTTAAAACCGTGAGATGGAGAGCTCAGAAGATGGCTTAGTAGGCAAAAGGTACTTGATGAGCAAGCTTGCATTCCATACCTGGAAACACGGGAAAAAGAAAACCAACTCCTGAAAACTGTCTTCCACCACATACATGCTCTCTCTCCTCTCCCTCCT